ACACTGGTAATCCTAATACGTAAGATCTGGAAAAGGTTTTGATATAAAATTTTAAAACTGCATCTTTAAATCCAAACATAAATCAAATTGGTAAGTGATTCCTTCCTCACCATAGATTAATCTCAAATGCATGATCATTCCATGTGTAAAGTGTCTGAATCCAATATATACATGTTACTCAATGACAGAAGCAAAAATGTATTGAACTAATTTTATGAGATTCTTAATAAACTTAACAGCACAATCTAGTGGTATTACTTACTTTTATTTTGCTATAAACTGAAGACAACATTTTCATCATCTCTGTTTATTGTATATATGGCATTTCTACTCTTAAATTACTAACACATAAATGTTGGTGAGCAATCTTTCTAGTGGCAAGCAATAAACAGCACTGCCAGTGAAAGTACTGACATTTTGAAAATCATACTTGTTTATCTTAGTTCAGGATTGTCCGCTTGATTTTTCATCCTTACATGCTTCTAAATACCATTGAGTTCCTGTTTTTCAAATGCTATACAGCAGTGGTTTTTAGTATGTTCACAGAGTTGTGCAATTGTCACCACCATCAAAATCTAGAATATTTTCATCAACATCAGATCCATTAGCAGTCACATCTGTCACACCTAATTTATCCATTTTCTTAGTCCTGAAAACCATCTGTTGTCTACATTATATACCTTTAATATAAATAGATCATATAAGATACACTATGCAGACATTTGTTTTTTTTTTTAATTAGAATGTTTTCAAAGCTTATTCCTTTTGTGGCATGCATCACTACATCATATTTTTAATCAATTAATAATTATGTAAATAATTATGTTTGTCCATTGATCAATTGATTGATATTTCTATTGTTTTCACTTTTTGCTATTTTGAATGAATGAGGCTGCCTTGAATTTTCATGTAGAAATGTTTGTGTGGACATGTTTGCAATTCTTTGGGGTATATACATCAGTGTGGAATCATAGAATAACTGTATTTGCTGAGTCATAGAGTAATTCTGTATTTAGCTTTCCAAGTAAGCACCAATTTCTTTTCCACAGCCTCAATCACTTTCCAAGCCCCATCAGCAGTCCATTGGGCTTCCACTTTCTAAATATCCTTGTAAATGAGTGTTATCATCTCTCTCTGGGACATCTATGATATGTCTTTTTTACCTTTGTTTTTGATGTTGTATTTGGATAGTTGTTTCCAAATCCATAGTTACAAAGTATGTTATGTTTTTTGAATTAATATTTGTGTGTGGTCAGAGAAAAAGGTCCAATTTTTTTATTTTGGATCCAGATAGTCATTTTTGTTAGTGCCGTATTTCACAAAGATTATTCCTTTCTCATTCAATGATCTTGGCAACATTGTCAAAACTTTGTAGGCTACAGTGTTAAGGTATATTCCTGAACTTTTAGTGCTTGTTCTTTAATCTATGTATTGATTTTCATATGATACTTTCATTGTTCATGATAATGGCTTGATTATTGTATATATGAAGAAAGTGTTGAAAAAAAGTCTGAGTCCTTGGATTTGTTCTTTTAAAGAATGATTTGATTTTTCTCAGTTCCATGCACATACATTTGAATTTCATAATTAGCTTGTGAATTTGAACAGCCAGCTGACATTTTGTTATTACTTATATAGAATCTGTAGATTAGTTTGTAGATTGCAATTGTAATAATATTAAATCTTATGATACAGAATATGGGATTATATTTTTCATATTTTGTTCTTTAACTTTTTACAGCAATATTCTGTAGGTTGCTGTATACAAATCTTGCTACTCTTTGTTAAGTTTACTTTTAAATATTCTATTACTCTGATGCTTTATAAGTGAATTATTTTCTTGATTTCATTATTACAATTTTCCTCACTAGAATTCCTGCAGAATTTGTATTCCATAGCTTTCTTAATCTGTTCATTAATTTTAATAGTACTTGTATTAAATTTTGGGATTTTTTAAATATAAGGTCCAGACATCTATAAATAACCTTACTTGTTTTCTCTTAAATATTGAATGATATTTTTTCCCTTGCCAGTTTGACCTGGCTTTGGCCACCACTAAAATGTTGAGTTGAAGTAGAAAGGGCATACAGCCCCACCTTGTTCTTGATCTTGTAAAGCATTCAGTCTTTCAGCATTAAGTGTGGTATAAGCTGTAGACGTTGTCAGATGTTCTTTATCAAGTTAAGAATGTTCACTTTATTTCTTGTTTTCTAAGAGTTTTTATCTTTGAAAGGGTGTTTTATTTAGTCAGGGGCTTCTTCTGTATCAACTGAGGTTGCTGTAATTTTCTATTCTGCATTCTGATAGAATTACATTAGTTGATTTTTAGGACATTAAGCCAATCATGCCTTCCAGGGGCAAATGCACACTGGTCGTATTATATAGCACTATCTTTTATATTTCTAGAACCCACTTGCTTGTATTTTATTGAGACTTTGGCATGTATACTCACAGATGACTTGGTCTTTAGTTTTCTTTAGAATTACTAATTCAATTCAATCTCTTCACTTGTCTATATGCAACCGGATTTTTCATGTCTTCCAAAATTAGTTTTGATAGGTTTTACTGTGATATATTCTTTTTTAAAAAAATTTCATCTAGACTCTCTAATTTGTTAGCATAAAACTGCTTATAGAATTTTCCTGAATTCATATTATTTATCCAAAGTTCATGAGAGATGTTGTGTTTCATTTCTGCTTTTGGTGACTTGAATCTTTATCCTTAATTTTTTGATCAGTTTATCTAAAAGGCTTTCTTGTTTTTAATCTTTTCAGAGAAACTATTATTTGTTTTCAGGAATTTTCTGTATTGTTTTTATTGTCTATATCATTTATTTCTGCTCTATTCCTTCCTTCTTTACTAGTCTCATGATTTCTGTTTAGTCTGGTCTATTTTTGTTTTCTTTCTTTATTCCTTCATTAAATTAATTCCTTTTTTTAATTTCTTAAGTTTTGATGCTGTGTTATAAATTTAAAGTCTTTCTTTTGTGTGAATATAGGCAGTTATTGGCATAAATTTTCTTTTAAGTTCTAACGTTAGTCTATGGCATTTTTTTCATTCATTTACAGTATTTTCTAATCTTTTTAAATGCCTTTCTTTCTCTAATATTCTATTTAGAAGTGTGTTGTTTAATTTTCTAACAAAAGTGCATCACCTGTATTTCCTCTCATTTTTTAGGATTGCTTTATTTATTTTGAAAGAGTTACACAGAGAGTCAGAGACAGAGAGAGAGAAAGTCTTCCATCCACTAATTCACTCCCCAATTGGCTGCAATGGCCAAAGCTGTACTGATCCAAAGCTAGGAGCCAGGAGCTGCTTCTGGGTCTCCCACATGGGAGCAGGGGCCCAAGTCCTTGGGCCATCTTCTACTGCTTTCCCAGGCCATAGCAGAGAGCTGGATAAGAAGTAGAGCAGCTGGGACATGAACCAGCTCCTACATGGGATGTCGGCACTGCAGCTGGTGGCTTTAACCACTACACCACAGCACCAGCCCCCTTCTCTCATTTTTTATTATTTAATTCCACCAGGTTTTGAAGTTGTATTTTATGTGAATTAGTTTCTGTTAAAATTTATTTTTAATTCTCTATTGTTTCTTTTACTGTATTTTAATCAGTTTCCTAGCGACATTCTGGTGATTAAATAAATATCTTACATTTGATTTTATTAGGACCAATTTAATCTTAATGTAAAAATTTTGCTTCAATATAGTCCCTTTCCCTCCTTCTTCCTCTGTGCTATATTGGTGCTTATTGCATCTTGATACACTGAATCCCAACATAACTTTATAATTAATGTTTTATAAAGCAACTAGAAAAAGAAAAGTGTAGCAAACACAAATGCATATATATTTCACTTATAATTAGTTTAATTACCTTCAGCTGTTCTTTTTGTTTCTTCCAGTGGATAGAGCTAACCACATAGTCCCTTTTATTTCAGCTAGAAAGGCTCTCTTTAATATTGGCTATGGAAATCTGCTAGCAAGGAATTTCCTTTTTTTCATCATCTGGAAAATGTTTAACGTTTTCTTAATTTGTGAAGGATAGTTTTGGTGCAAGATGGATTCTTGACTGGCAGTCTTTTCTTATCAGAATATGTTATCATATCATTTTCCAGTTTTCTTATGTTGAAATGCTTTGTGCTTGATGAGTCACTATTCTCTTCACATTCCACATCTTTCCTTCTTCTTGGCTTTCATATTTTTGACTGTGATATGTCTTAGTACAGATCTCTTTTAATTTATCCTGAACAAATTTGTAAACCATGTAAATTAATGTTTTAAATTAAATTTTGCATATTTGGGGCTATTAGTTCCTTGAGTATGATTTTCTCTCCCTGTGTCTTCCTCTTGGTACTCCCATTGTGGTACGGTCAATATTGTCTAACAAGTCTCTGAATTTCTTGGAATTTGATTTTACTCATTTCCTCTTCCTCAGATTAGAAAATTTCAATTGTTTAATCTCTAAGTTTACTTATCCTTTGTTCTAAAAGGTTGAACATGTTTTTATGCATACTAGGAAATTTGTCATTTCATTTCTTGAACATCACAAATAAAGAATATCTTTCTAATCTTTAGTAGAATTATTTTTAAAAATTGTAGACAGGGTTTGGTTTAATCTTTTGAACACTTTAAGATGGTTGATTTAAAGTCACTATCTCTTCATTCCAATAGCTGAGCTTCCTTAGGAAATGTCTACTTTTTTTTAATGGATAAGTCATATCTCTACTTAAATACGGGAGATATTATTATAATCCAAAATAATAGAAAAATAATCAATGCAGGAAAATTAGCATTAATTAAATAATTGATTATTTAAACCTCTTAAAATACTATCAATTTTATTTGTTCCTATGCTTTTTTATGTGAGTGCATTTCTTAAAATTTTTATTTATAATTGGATATTTAAATAATATATGATAACTCTGGAAATCATATAATCTCTTCCTTCTCAATGTTTATTACTGTTCTATTTGTTGTTTATATTTGTCATTTGTTGGTTTAGTGACTTCTCTGAACAAGACCATAAAGTTTCTCTTCTTGGTCACGGTCACCTGATGAAGTTTCAGCTTGCTTAACTTACTGTGCATTTAAAGGTTAGATATTTTATTTTTTAATAAATAAAATATTTTATTATATAAATCTGTTTCTTTTATATTCCTTTTGAGAGATATAAAACATTTTTTTGTTTTCTTTCTTTCTTTCTTTCTTTCTTTTTCTTTTAAACTAGAAACCTTTGATTTAAAGTGTAAAAATGTAATGCATTTCATATATATTAATTTAGGAACACAGTGATTCTTCCCACCTTACCCTCCCTCCCTCCCATACTCTCACCCTTCTTCCACTTTCCTCTTCTATTCCCATTCTTAATTTTTGCAAAGATCTATTATCAATTAACTTCCTACACATAACATTAACCCTATACTAAGGTAAATACTTCAACAAATACTATGGAAAAAAACTATTCATCAATAGTCAAGACAAAGGCTGTTCTAATATATCACAGTTCAAAGTGTCAGCATCGATTCTATAGATTACATTTTAGGTAGTTTATTGGTTATCACAAATCAGGGGAAATATATGTTATTTGTCTTTATGGGACTGGCTTATTTCACTAAGTATAATGGATTCCAGCCACTGTGGCAGACAGTCTGGAGATAACTCAGAAATCTGAATAAGGGCCTACCATATAATCCAGTCATCCCACACCTAGGAATTTCCCCAAAAGAAATGAAATCAGCATATGAAAGAGTTATCTATACCCCATGTTTAATGTAGCTCCATTCACAACATCTAAAATATGAAATCAACCCAAATGTCTATCAATTGAAGACTGGTTAAAGAAATTATGGTATATGTACACCATGGAATACTATATAGCAGTAAAAAAATGGGATCTTCTCATGTGCAACTAAATGGATGCAACTAGAAACTAAAGACTTTCTTAAATTCCTTGCACCAATAAATTTTTCAGCCTTTGCCAAGAGATTATTTGTGTATTGTAACATGCCTGCATTTTCTGAGGATTACAACTCTACCTTAGCCTTCACTTCCTGCCTTACACAGAGCTTAAAGTTCAGACAACCTTCAGCTATTAGTAGTCTTCTAGCTCTTTCATGGCTGTGTAAATTACTGCATACATTTTGCTAGATTTCAACATACCAAGAATTATCTTGGAGTCTTTAGAGCTCCATATGGGTATCTCATTCCCCAGATAGTCTTCTTCAGTTAATGGGCCAGCCTTTTGTTAACCTCAGTTGGGAAAAACATCACCGCAGATAACAATATTGTGTAAAAAAAAAAAGTGAGCACTGAAAAGGATTACCATGGAGTCTCTGAGAACAGAGTGCATAAGTGAGTTACAAGTCTGTTGGTGGGAACTCTCATCTGTGGAGCTCCAGCTCTATTTGCCCCATTCAAATGTCCCCTAGAGTGCTCTTTTACACAACAACCATAGTTATAAGGCTGTTAGTTTTCATGTCTAATATTGCTTTGTATATAAGACAAATCCAAATATCATAAATCTTGCTTTCCTTACCACAAATCTCATACTTTTCTTGGTGAGCATTGTCAGGCTATTATAGCTGTAGCTGATTTCCAGTGTTCCAAGAAATTTAGAGTGACAATATTTTCAGTGTTCTTTTTGCTTTTATGAAAGACTGGATTGTCAAAGGTCATTACTCTAATATTCTGGAAGTCTTTCTTTCCATCATTAAGTTTTATCTCTTTTTAGGGCAAGCAAAGAGAACAAGAAAGAATACTGGGCACAATGATTTGGGAGAAAAAAGGATCGCAGAAAAAGCAAGGAAAGAATGATCTGTTCCATCCACTTCAATTTCATGGTTGATGTAATACAATTAACCCCTCAATATCTTCTAGCTTTGAGAGGAGACTTAACCATACAAAATAAGAAACAGCAATTCACATAAAACTGCTTCAAATAACTTTCTTTTAAATGAGAGAACTTTTTTCTTTAAAAAAGAAAACAAAAGCAATAAATATTTTTCACCCTTGTGAGTTTATTTTAAAGGATACTGTATTATGAGTATACTTGAAAACTAAGACTTTGACTTCCTAGCTTTTATTTTATATAGAAAATGATTGTCACTTTACACATACAAGAAGTAATTACAGCTAGTCACTTTGTTCTCACCATCATTTCTGTCACACAGGTAACAGTTGCTTTCTTCCTGCCAAGAATCTGTGTTTGTCTTCAATAATACTTTATAATTCGGTTCCTTTTGCATATGTTTCCTATATAGATAAGCAGAGATGTACTAAACACTAACTTTTCAAAGCTAATTCTCATCTCCTCCTTATTCTCTTCTGATTATTCTTTCTTTAAGCTAATGAATATATGAACATCTCTTACTATGTGCTTGCTAAGCACTGGAGAATTGACACAATATATTTTGGCACAGTTCAATAGAACTATTAAATAAACATTATTTCCTGAAAAATGCTCTGAGTTCCATGTTTATTGAATTTTAATTAATTAGTCTCTGTGGCTCTTAAAATAGACATACCTAACATAAGAAGACATAAAGTCTCTTGAGTGGTTAATATTTCAGGATGACAGCTTAAAAATACTGAACATAAATAGCAAGGAAAATGTTTTAATTTGATTAACTTCAATTTATCAAATTTTTGCTATTTGTTTTATGAATCACACTTTTTGCATCATGTCTAAGAACACCTTACCAAGCTTTTATGTCCTCAGGTTCTTCTCTGATGTTTTATTTTTAAATATTTTTGTATAGTAGAAGGTATCAAGATTAGGTTGAGATTTGAAATTTTGCATATATTGAATTTATTTAGAATAAATATGACACACTATTAAAATAATAAAATTATGTGTGTACATATATCACATATAATATTCAAAATCTCATAGGAAATTATATTATGAAAAATATACTCATAGTTGTTAGACTTTTTGCACCAAAATAAGTTCATCTTGTAATTCCATTTTTTCACAAATTCTTTTGTAGTACCCTTGTGTATGTACACACACACATATGCACACATACAAACATGTTTCTTGATACAACAGTTTCAGCACTATTTTTTAAAGAATGTCATTCCTGCACTGAATTGCCTCTGCAGACGTTGCAGTCAGCTATACTTGTACACAGTGGCATCTGGATTCTCTGCCCTGTTCCCGTAACCTATGTGTCCATCTCCTTAAGAAAAATCACATCCATTGTTAGAAAATCTCTATTGTTATATATAAATCATAGATCTTGAAGCAGAATTCAGTGGTTCCTTCTATTTTACTATTTTCATAATTATTGCAGCTATTTCAGTCATCTTGCTATTTGATATAAAATTATAATTGGTTTATGTCTTCACAAATGCTAAAATTTTGATAAGATGCAAATTAAACCTGTATATGAAGTTGGAAAGAATCAACATCTCTCCTAAATGATATTATCATAATTTTAAGACTATTTTGATTTCTTTCCATTTCCCAATTCTTAGCATACAGATCTTGTGCATTTTTGTGTAGTTAAACACAAGTATCTCAATTTTGAACAGTTTTAAAACATACCTAATTTTAATTTATATTTATGTAAAATTATCTTCTGTCTTCTAACTTCACTTAATTCATTTAATAGTTGTAAAATGTTCATTCATTGTTTGTAGATCCTTTGGAATCGTATATAGGCTAGCATATTCATAAACAGGTGGTTTTCTTTCTTTTTTAATTTCCTTATTGTACTGGCTGAATTTCCTATACTATATTCAATCATACTGATGCTGCTTAATTTCTTGGGCTAGGTCATAATAAGTAAAGCAGCACATACTGAGTAGGTATAATATTCATTCTTGAATTATTTTTTTTTTTTTTGCCATCTGAGTGATTTGTCTCAAAACTGCCATACTGCAAGGAAGCTCACAACAGCAGACTTGAAGAGAGGGGCCCTGGGCTGATTTGAAAAAGGAAGGAAAGCTAAAAGTTGCTCACTGCTCCAGAACCCCTTGTTCTAGTCCAGCAACTGACTGGCTGCACGTGCAAAAAGAACTCTGAGAAAAGCTACCAGTCATGGAAGTGCTTATAGTGCCTGTTTTTTAGAGCACTAAAATTTGAAGAAGTTTCCCATAAAACAATAACAGCTACAATACTATTTTACCAGGAACTTTATGGGCTTTAGATGTAGTTTTTTTTATTTTTAAAGACTAATTTTATTTACTTGAAATGCAGAGTTACAAAGAAAACAAGCAGAGAGAAAGATATCTTCCACCTGGTTTACTTCCCAAATGGCCTCAATATTCCAGGCTGGGCAAGGCCTGACCCAGGAATCTGGAGCTTCATCATGGTCTCCCACATTGGGTATAGGGGACCAAGACGTGCCATCTTCTGCTTTTTCCCCAGGCCATTATTAGGTAGCTGGTTCAAAAGTGGAGCAGCTAGGACTCGAACCAGTGCCCATATAGCATGCTAGCGTCATAGGCGGTGGCTTAACTTGCTAGTCTACAACACTAACCCAAGGACGTAGTTCTATAACATTTTGCAAGACTATATAAATATTGCTGACTTTTTTTCTTAACAAATGCAACAACTGCTAATATACATGTGCTCCCTGTTTGAATACATCCATTCAATGTGACATACATGCTGGACAAAGTTAATAAAACCAGAAATTTGTCCTCAGTAATTTATAATTAAATTTTAAAAATAATACACGGAATATGTACATGCATGTGTGTGTATATATATCACTAGAAGTAGTAAATACCTTTACTATTACCAAACAATATAGGTATAGGAAATTGAGTCCATGGAAGGAAAGTATTTCTGTTTTGGTGAGAGAAATCTCCATGAATATTGAATTACAAGAAATATTAGGGCATGTATAAGTAGAAAAATATATGAGAACGTCCTAGAGACAATCAGTAGCCTAGCCTTATGTTTCCATTTGTATTTTGAAGAACCACAAGTAAAATGATTGAACCACAGTGTTATTCATTAGAATATCAGTAGGAGATAAAGCCAATAATAATTAGTGGTGAAATTTCTCAGCAAATCCTTATGCTCATATTATGTAAGATATAAAAACATTTAAAGATGCTTAAGGTGGCTGATGGTGCTGAGTGCTCTTTTAGATTACTTGAGGGAAATATATGTGATGAAATGAGAACCTAAACTTCAACAGAATGATATTTGTAAAAGCTATGAATTCATAGAATTGGCAAGCATATAGAGGAAAAAAGAGACAGAAAAATACCCACTTATAAGCACTTTTTTTCATTATGAAAATAACATGTTGTTACTGTCAATGAGAGAAAGAAGAAAACTTTCAACAACTGATGTAAAAAAATCATTTTATCTGGGTGATAATCTCTCTCGTTAGTGATAAAACTAAGCCTGGGAAGGCAGAGGAGGATGGCTCAGGTCCTTGGGCTGCTGCACCCACATGGGAGACCTGGAAGAAGCTCCCAGCTCCCAGTAAGGTCCTGTGTGATGATGGAATAGTTCTTTCTTTTTTTGTGATGTATTTATTTATCTGTTTGAAAGGCAGAGACAAGGAGAAGGAGAGAGAGAGAAAAAAAAAAAATCTTCCATCTGCTGGTTCACTCCCTAAATAGCTGCAATGGCCAGAGCTGCACCCATCTAAAGCCAGGAACCAGGAGCTTCTTCCAGATCGCTCATGTGGATGCAGGTGCCCAAGGAGTTAAGCCATTCTCTACTTTCCCCGGGGCATTATCAGGGAGCTGGATCTGAAGTGGAGCAGCTGAGACTCAAATGGGCACCCATATAGGATGCAGACATTGCAGGCGGGGGCTTAACCTTCTATACCACAGAGCTGACCCTGGTGGAATGGTTTTTAATCTTCATCAGGTGGTGGTGACACAAACTGATATGTGTGAAACACATACCAAAGTGCTGATTTTGACCATATATTCTTTTATGATGTAACCATTGTGGGAAACTGGGTGAGAGTAAATGGACCTCTTGGGAAATGTAGAAGCAGATTATTGCCTAATGAGATATTCTGATTTCTTGGAGTGGCTTCATTTGTTTTTAGATATAAAATGCTTTCTTCATAACCAGATCATTTTTGGAGCTATTTTCATTTAAGTCTGTAATGATTCTGCACATCTTGAAAGGAAAGCTCTGCCTGCCTTTGTTCAGGACTGTATCAATATCTTAGTAGATTCAGGCAGGTGTAACAAAATTCCATGAACTATGTGGCTTATAAAGAATAGAAATTTATTTCTTACAGTTCTGGAAGCTATGAGTCTAAGATCAAGGCACTAAAATATCTGCTGTCTGCTGAGGGCTTTTTCCTGGTTCATAGATAGCACCTTCTCACTCTGTTGTCACATACTGTTAAGAGGCAAAAGAGCTCTCTCCAACCTTGTATATAAGAACTCTAATTCCAAGCCGGTACCGTGGCTCACTAGGCTAATCCTCCGCCTTGCGGCGCCGGCACACCGGGTTCTAGTCCCGGTCGGGGCGCCGGATTCTGTCCCAGTTGCCCCTCTTCCAGGCCAGCTCTCTGCTGTGGCCAGGGAGTACAGTGGAGGACGGCCCAAGTGCTTGGGCCCTGCACCCCATGGGAGACCAGGAGAAGTACCTGGCTCCTGCCATCGGATCAGCGTGTTGTGCCGTGCGCCGGCCGCGGCAGCCATTGGAGGGTGAACCAATGGCAAAGGAAGACCTTTCTCTCTGTCTTTCTCTCTCTCTCTCACTGTCCACTCTGCCTGTCAAAAAATAAAAAAATAAAAAAAAAAAGATTCCCACAAAAGTGACAGAGGCCTAGAAAGGCAGAATTGTTTCATGCAACTACAGGTGCTTCCACAGCATTAGCCAATGTTGCCTTGGGATTCATTTGCTTGTACTCAGCCAGTGAACTGCTCCATGACTACAATGGTTCAAGGGGGTGCAAGTGCAACTCCTGACAAAGGCAAACCTTCAGTTCACTCATGTAATGGCTTTGCAAACACGAAAAATCTAAGAGTTATGGAGTCATGGTGGCTTACACCAAAATTTCCAAGGAAAGCCTAAGACTGCTCCAGAATTGGAATCCCTGCCTGGAGCTCCTGACGAGGAATGCATAGAAGAGCTGAGGAAGTAAAGCCACGGTAAAGACCTGAGGAAGGCGGTCATGCCAGTAACATGCAACATCTACCAGGAAAAGCTGCAGATAATGCGCACAACAGCCTTAGACAGCAGCCTGTCCATGAAAAGCAAAGCCAGAGGGGCAGAGCTCTCGAAGACCTTAGGATCGCATCTCCATCAGTGTCCCCCAGGTGACACACATGAACCTTCAGGATTTAACGTTTTCCCTACTGGATTGGAATCTTCTTTGGGCCAATTATGCCCCCTTTCTATTCCCCTGCAGCCTCCTTTTAAAATGGAAATTTATATCCTGTACCTGGCCCAATTGCCGTTGTGTTTTTGAGGGAAGTAATTTATTTTTTATTTATAGAGGT